ACTGAAGAATGGATAAACAAAATGTGGTACATATACACAATGGAATACTACTCAGCAGAGAAAAACAATGACATCATGAGGTTTGCAGGCAAATGGATGGATCTAGAAAAAATCATCCTGAGTGAGGTAACCCAGACTCAGAAAGACAAACATGGTATGTACTCACTCATAGGAGGATACTAGATGTGGAACAAGGATGACTAGACTGCTACTCACATCACCAGGGAGGCTACCTGGAAAACAGGACCCCAAGAAAGACACAGGGATCGCCCAATGATGGAGAAATGGATGAGATCTACATGAACAGCCTGGACATGAGTGGGGGTAATGAAGGGTGAGGGTTGAGGGAAAGAGAGCTTGGGGGAGCGGGAGATCCCAGCTGGATCAACAACAGAGAGGGAGAACAAGGAATAGGAGACCACGGTAAATGAAGACCACATGAGAATAGGAAGAAGCAAAGTGCTAGAGAGGCCCACAGAAATCCACAAAGATGCCCCCACAATAGACTGCTGGCAATGGTCAAGAGACAGCCCGAACTGACCTACTCTGGTGATGGGATGGCCAAACACCCTAATTGTCGTGCTAGAAACCCCATCCAATGACTGAGGGATCTGGATGCAGAGATCCATGGCTAGGCCCCGGGTGGAGCTCTGGGAGTCCAATTAGCGAGAAAGAGGAGGGTTTATATGAGCGAAAACTGTTGAGACCAAGGTTGGATAAAGCACAGGGACAAATAGCCAAATGAATGGAAACACATGAACTATGAACCAATGGCTGAGGGGCCCCCAACTGGATCAGGCCCTCTGAATAAGTGAGACAGTTGATTGGCTTGATCTGTTTGGGAGGCATCCAGGCAGTGGGACCGGGTCCTGTGCTCAGTGCATGAGTTGGCTGTTTGAAACCTGGGGCTTATGCAGGGTCGCTTGGCTCAGCCTGGGACTGGACCTGCCTGGGCTGAGTCTACCAGGTTGATCTCAGTCCTCGGGGGAGGCTTTGGTCTGGAGGAGATGGGAATGGGGGGTGGGCTGAGGGGAAGGGGAAGGGGGCAGGAAGGGAGAGAACAAGGGAATCCGTGGCTGATATGTAGAATTAAATTATATTATAAAATAAAATAAAATATAAATAAATAAAGAGAGGGAAAAAAAAGTCAGAAAACCTGGGTTCAGCTCAATTCATCTATTTTCCAATCTCATATGCTGTCAAGTTGAAGTCCTGGGTAGAATGCCTGTGGTTGAAAACTCTGAATTTCTCATCATATTAGTAGTAATTGATTTAAAGATTTAATAAAATGCATCGAGAATTCAAAAAAATGGTGTTTAAAGAATAAATAAAGCACAAAACATAAACTAGCCTTTCACTTAATTCTGGATCTTCTGCCAAGAACAGGCCATAGGGCGTATGCTGGCCCCTTGGTGTGAATTCGGAGTTGTTGCAGAGAATAAATGCACAAAACAACTCACACTTCCATGCTGGCTGGCTGAAGACCCACTCAACGCTGGAGCTCCTCGCACAAGTTTAGGGTGGAGAGGTGGTTAACGCATTGAAGTCAGTAACACTGAGGGGTTTCGAAAGTAACTGGGAGGTAGAAAGGAATTTAAGCCACAGAACTTTGGCTTGGCTCTTTACCCCTCCATTGTAAAACTTCTCAGGATACCACTCCCTGGGTGTTCTTGCTCCCTTACTGGGTAATACTAGATACATATATTTATTGCAGATTTTGTCATCACTTAATCACCACAGAAGCTTCAAGAAATCAAACATTTTATCTCACTGCTACATACATTTCAAGTGCTAGAACAGAAACTGGACCATTGAAAGAATTCACTTGACATTTTTCCAGTAAGTAAAAGAATAAAGATAAAAATCATTGGAACTTTCAAGTCTAATCTCCCTTGAAGCCATAATTGCATGTGGACATGTGGTCCCTTGAACTCACAAGTTCACGTTAAAAGAAGTGAGTTGAGCTTTATGACCATTGCTCAAAAGTGCTTTCACTGATAGACACTCCAAACAATTTTTCATGGTTGGTAATTGAATTGAGATGTTAAATAACTTCATTATTCATTGTAAAATATTTATTGTTTTAAATTCACTTTAAGATGATCAAAAACATCACCAAGACAGTTTCTAACCTCATGCTACCTAATGTTTCAAACTCACAGAATAGAGGTGCCTTGACAGACAGGGTCATGTGAAACCATTTATGTTTGGGCAGTTGGTGGGGCACCCAAGTTATATATGTTGAATAGAAACATGCTCTACTTTTGAAACTTAAAACAAGATTTGAATCTTGCTTTTTCCTAGCCCTCAAATTTGATGTTAAATAAATGTTTTCAAATTTTTTATCTGAAAAACATCTTGATAACTGGGCTATGAAATTTGCTTAAAATTTAAAATCAATGCACTTAGAACAAGATGTAAGTTATAGTAATTGCTGAGTAAATGTTAATTGTTCTTGTTGATGCCGTAGTGGGACATACTTTTTCTATTTTATTCTCTCCTATGCCCTATAATTCTGAAGATCCACCCAGAGCAATTCACCTTCCAATAAATAATTTGTAGAACCTAGGACCAAGTAGCATAGCTAATGATTTCAATAATAAATGGACTCGTGTTTCCATTTTCCCCATGTTTATGTCTTTTCTGATTTATGGAAATTGAGAACTAAAGCAGATATCTAACATTCTAACAGTAGAAAGACTCTGACTATTAATGGTAAGGAGAGTTTGTATGTTAAATAGCCTGGTTGGATTGGAGTCTCATAATCCAGTCTCTATATTAATTGTTTTCCACCTTGTATGATGTCACCAAGCTTACAAGCTTGAGAACAACATAATTATGAGATTTCACAAGAAATTTCCCTAACTTTTTTATGTTATATGTGCACTACCGTGGCCACCTGCAAGTAGAGTGGTGTCATATGACGAAGATATGCGGTCTATTCAAATGATGTGCCATGGAGCAGATAGCAGAAGCTCTGAAGTGTAATTGATCTCAAGCATCTTCTGCAGAAGTCCTGAGCTTTCTACAATATATGCACTCTGAAAGTCTGTATGCAAATCAAACAGATGCAAACTGAATAATGAAGGAGAGTAGGAAAGCCCTAACCACTTAAATAATTTCCCCTGTGACTCCTCAATTCTGAGAATCTTTTTGTCATGCAAAGTATTTATCTTTTGGTTTAAAAATCGGGTTCTTGCACATTTGGTTGTGCTGTTTTTAGTTGAAGCACACCTGTACTAGGTGAACACACTACTAGACGTGGGACTGCTGTGCCCGGTGTTCCCACTTACTGAGCTGGCTGTTATACCAAGGACTAGATACAGAAATGCTGGGCTACTGATTCTCTCTGACTCATTGACTCTCCTATTCTAAAGAGTCCAGTGGGCTGAGTCATCCATTCAGAAAGAGATGTATCCTTTTATGTTCATTTATTCCAATGCTCAAACATTTTCTATTTAAAAAACATTAGGCAGCGTAACTCTAAACTTCTCCAGGTGGCTTTATGGTTTGTTGCTGTTTCATTTCACAAGCTTTCCCTGGGTTCCCTTGGCTGTTGTTTTTGGGGGGTTGTTGTTGTTGCCCTATTTAAAGCACATCAGAATGTATAATCACAAATCACCTATATATTTCTGTGCTTAACATCTGTCTCCCTCACTAAACCGTCAGCATTAATGATGTCATTTTTGTTCACTGCTGCTGTTTCAGTGTTTATTCTATTGCCTGGCACATTGTAACTATTTAGTAGTCAATATTAGTTGAGAAAACAAATGAGCTAGAAAATCAGTGAATGGTTAGGAGTTAGCCAGTTCCCATTTATATAATTTTTTTAGAAGGGTCTTAATTGACTAAACTTTGAGAGACTTCTCTAACCTTCTTCCATTCCCACTTTTCCAGCTTTGACTTATCCTTGCTTATCCTTAAACACTTCGGTCCTTCTCTTGCTGTTTCCTCTGACCCAAACATCTTTCCTGTATCGGTGTGACATCTATCCTTCCTTTCAATCAGTTCCATACACACAACACCTCCCTAGAGACTGTTCTGGTCTCCTTGTGCACAAAAGCCCCACATGTCCCTTTAACTTTTAGTAGTGCCCATTGTACTCATCATTGAACTGTACCTATCTATGTATTTATTGACTATCTTAGCACTTAAATATGTAACTCTGAATAGTGTGGGCAGAGGAAGAAACATGTTCATCTTTTTTTTTATTTCAATTTTTAATTAAGATTTTCCCCAATAGCTGGGTGTGGTGGTACATGCCTTTAATCCCAGCACTTGGGAGGCAGAGGCAGGCAGATCTGAGAGTTCCAGGCCTGCTTGATCTACAAAGAGAGTTCCAGGACAGCCAGGGCTGTTACACAGACAAAACTTGTCTTGAAAACAAAACAAAACAAACAACAAAAGAATTATCCCCAAAATTGTTTACAAACATAAAAGGTTAATTTGATGTTATCTTAATATAACTTTACAAAGTTCTTCAGCCATAATATCTATATTCTTATTTATTTGTGTGTCAAGATTAAATTTTTCTGTAATATCAAGGAATTTATCTTTAATGACCTTAAAACATATGACTAATAAGTTGAAGTCATGTTCTAACCACCCATAGCCCAACAGAAGATGTATTTGTTGAGTCTAATACTAAATTACTTTGGGTCTAGGCTTGATGATATCTCTTCTATGATAATAAAAAAAAAGAATTCTAAGCTATGATTCCCATACTTTTAAATATTCATTGTATTTCATTTGATTTTGTTAAACCTTCTGTAAAACTTCTATTGCTAATACAAATAGAATGAATAATAATACTAAATAAAAATGTGGTTTACTTGAATGTTTTATGAAATTCTAACACTACAAAGAATAATAAATAAATTAAACATATCAGGAGATTACATTGTTTTGGTGGAATAGATAGCCAGTTTTTAGAAACAGTATGTTTCATTTAAAAATTTTCTGAAATTATTTTGAAATGCTTTGTCTTTTTGGTCTCTTAGGTATTTGACTATGACTTTGGACTGCAAGATGACTTTATGGGCTCAGCCTTTCTCGACCTCACACAATTGGAGTTAAACAGGTAACTTTCAAAAGTTGTAACATTGCTATGCCTCATTACGGACTTGGCCTGTGAAGTAGGGAACACTAGTCTGTAACAGATTCCTGTTGATGTCTATGGAGGACTCGGGGGTCTGGGAGTTAGCTTCATCCAGCGTAAGATATCTGAGGGAAAAAAATCTATGTACACTATGCTCTTATATCTATTAACTTTATTCTTCTAAGAAAAAATTCTATCAATACAGCTACAGCTCCATCAGGCATTCAAGGCAGGAATAACTCTAGACATGCCAAGCTCTATATGCATCTACTTTATTCCTTTGGGATGAAATCCTGTCTCCATAACTACAGTTCTGCCCAGTTCCCTAGCTCATAGTCCTGCTAACAACTAAATTCCTATGCTTCCAGCCTCATCTACATCCTCTGTATCCTCTTTCTCCATCTCTGCTACTCTCTACTCCTGGCACTCAGAAAACTCTACCTGAGATCTGCTTACCCTCTATGGAACCTCTGTCTTCCTCTCTTCTCTCTCACCATGCCGTTCTGTCTCTCTCTACAGAAAAATGCCTGCCCTTTCTTTCCCTGGACACATGGGTTCACTCCTCTTCACAAATGTTGTTCTAACTCCCACTTTGATATGTAAAAACCTCTTTTGTTCTCAGTCAGTTGCTCTGGAAAGCCTCTAGGCCTGGGGCAGGGGGATGGTCTGAGCTTCATTTACACAAGAAGCAAAGCTATGAGTCTCCAGCCAGCTTGTCTTCTGGGCTCAGGTCCTGCAGAGTTAGTAACTTAGAACTTCAGCAGGTCTGGGGAGCTGAACTGTTTACCAATTGGTCTGGGCATGCAAGAATTTCATAGCAGAAGACAGCTGAAATATTAAAGGCTGGATATTACCAACTATTCATAATAATGGCTTGCCTCTTGATAGACCCTTGGCCGGTCAAGGTTCAGCTTTAATACACAGCTGAATCTCTATGATATATTCTTGTGGCCTGCAAGAGATGTTCTGTTGTCACCATCTGAGATTCTTCCAACACATCAGCCTTTCCTACTTACCCACAGGCTTCCAACATCTTCCCTGACTTTCTCATTCAATAGCAACTAATTTCTTAAAAAGTATTACTAGCTAACTTCCCTGTCCCTAGCACCATGCTAAGAGGGAAGATGCATTCCTTAATCTCACATGGTTTAGTTGGGATTCAGCATAAAGACTGTAGTTATTACTTAAGAAGCAAGTTGCTACATACTTCACCTTAAAAACAGCAAATCTCTCACCACTTAAAGCATGACAGAACTGACTTTAGCATCACAGTTTACCATCACTATATAGTGGACCAAGCAGTAGAAATAGGTTGGTTATATTTGCTTAGTTTCATTTTCAGTGCTTGAGTAGCTGCGAAGTTATATTGTCATTACTAACATTACTCAATGCAGAGCCCCTGACAATGGGCATGGAGTTTTCAAAATGCATTTTGTCTTAGGAACTAAGAACTGACTAGAACATAGAAGAAAAAAATAGGCTTCAAAATGAAATCTTTGATAGTTGTAAATGGAATTCCTTTCTTGAATGATTATGTTACATCAGGTGACAGGAAAGAAGTGTAATGGGCCAGACCCATGTTCCCTTTTTGTATGAGTATGGATGAATAGATGAACATACATGGAAGAGCCTCTTTGTATGCTATAGTAAGCTAACTTTGAGCGTACGAGCAGCTTATGGGTCTTCCAAAGACTAACTGACTGATGATTCACTGATTGTTTTTGTATCGGGTGGAATAAAAGAGCAACCTTTGCTGCCTTCTTACAGTTAATAGATCCCAACATTGGCTTGACCTGAGGATAGAGCTTAGGTGACTGATGGTTCTCCCCCTTTTGAGGAAGTGTTCCGAGCAGTGGTGTCTGTGGTCTGTTATCATGAGCACTGATGCAAACTAAAATGGACTCTGCTATTCTTTTCAAAGGCTGCAATTACACTTTCTGTAAACCTCTGCATTAAGTGTATGCAAATTATAAGACTTAAAGCATAAATTTCTCTTGTTCCCTATTAAAAATAAATCATTGGGGAATAACAATTTTCAATGAAGAATTATGGAATTAAAGAAACTTAAAGAGATTATAAGCAAACATTTCAAGCATACTTTGATATGTTGCTTATTTTGTGTGATTAGTTAGCCACCACCACCATAGGGCCATGTACACATCAGATTACCACTTTGTGACTTCACAAGCTTTAGTAAGCCATTTTAGCTTGTGTACAATTCAAGGATATCAAAAGATGGATATTAATAATAGCCATATAGATGCATACTGCTATAAATGTATTGAGGTATCACCTTAGAAGAAAATAATAATGATCAAGTTTTATTCTTCTACATGTAGCTATCCAGTTTGACCAGCTAGACAAAAACCCTGTATAGAAGGGGAGGCAGATGAGAAAATCTAACAGTAGATGAGAAACTTGGCACTTGATAGCTTCTGGGAAAGGAAAATCTGTTAATGTTGTGAAATGGCTCTCAAGAGGCCTTGGCAGGTTTGGACAAAGGTGCCCCATAGCAGGTGAAACAGGCCATGTGGGCGTGGCAGAAGACAGCATGGCATGGTGGAAAGTCACTCACATGGCAGACGTGACATCCATGTGAAAGTTTATTTTGGGGGGAAGGGAGAGGGAATGGAGAGAGAGACGTGGGGAGAGAGAGTGAAGGGGAGGAGTTTTTTCTTAAATGGGACTTTACATAAGATAATATCAGGATTATGGGTGGGTCCCCAAGCAGCAAGTCAGAATACAAATATTCCTCCATTTTGATTGTTATAAAAAGGTGAGTTATGGATATCAAGTGGTGGTGGGGGGGTGGTGAGGGTGCCAAATTCTCAAGACTGCTTCCTGCTGACAAGGGGCAAAGTGGGGAGTTATGAACAGTGGGAGGTGTGAGTGAAGAAGCATTCAGTTAGCTGTCGTCATAGAACTCTCAAGCATGGAGCTCTCAGATCCTGAGGGAGCTGAGAAGGCAGGTTGAAGCAGTGATATTCCAGGAGCTTTGGGGAATGACACACCAAATCAGGAGTACAGGAGCCATCACATCTGCTGTTCCTCTGGAGGAGGAAATGCTTCTGTTCTTCCTGTAATAATTGTCAATAAATTGGGAGATAACAGAGTCTTTATGAGTAGGCATGTGGGTGAAGTTAACCTGTCAGTATTCAGCTGGTTGGCATCCTTGTTGGTGGTTGGCATCCTCGGAGCTGGTGCAGGGGCTGGTGTACCTGAAGGACCCCCAGTGGACTGGTCTTGGCTTGAGTCTGGCAGGGGGAGGGAAACTGTAAAAAATGCTCGAAAATGGGTGCAGTCAAAATGGGCTCTGGAGACTAAGTTTTCATCAGACCAGATTTCCTGATACAGTAGCAGAACTTTTCCCAGGAACCTACAGGTATCTGTCAGACAGCTGGAACGGATTAACAGTTGGTGTCATAGCCAAACTGTTTAAAGGTACAAACGTTTCCTGGCTTCAGCCCAGTGAAACATATCTTCAAATCTGTATCCAGAGGAAATTTACTGAATGGAAGTGGTTGAGTGAGTGAAGGAGGAGGGAGGCTTCCCTAAACATCATCAAATCTGAGAAGGATATGTATGTGAACAGAAGTGAGACAACTTTCCTATCTTCATATAAACAAACCTTAGAGCTGTTTCTTTTATCCAATTCTCCAGGAGATACTGAGAGCAGTCAATAGTAAAAAGTTACATTGAAGTCTGTTCTGTGAGTTTATCTGATCTGTTAAGAAGGTAAATTGTGTCTAGACCTAGTAGTAGCCCTAGGAGAGGGAGACCTGTGAGTTTTACATAGAGACCTGAGAAGGCAGCTGAAGCAGAGCCTGGTCGTCAAATGGAATCAGAGATCTGAGAAGGATAAATCGTATCTGAGTGCAGACCAAGCAGCTTTCGAATCTGTTAAAGATGACAGGGACCAGTCCACACCCAGCTAGCCATACCCAGGTCTCCACATCATTGGAGGCAGAAACATCAGAATAGTACCAATTTTCAGCTGCCAGGCCCATAGGGTGGGAGTTTTTCCCATGGAAGAGGGACATGGGGAAAACTGATCTTACATTGTCTAGGCAAAAGGGGTGAGATTGATTCTCCGATGTCCTGCTGTTTGTCCACAGTCTGGCTGGGTCCTGGTGGCAGGCATCACATTAGGGCATCTTACTCAGAGGTCAGCATTGCCATAGTCCAGGTGGAGACAGTGTGGTGCCTTATAGTCTTCCTCAGAGACCTTGGGTCACTGCTAGGATCTGGGAGTCTCTGTCTGATATAATAAGCTTTTTAAATCAACATTTTAAATGCCATATTCTGCAGATCTCTGAGCATTTGAGGACTGTCTGTCCATTAGGCATGACTGACTATCAACAAGTATTCCCTAAGTCTCCAATATATTGGCAGCTTTTGTAACACTAGGACTTGCTGTCTCCTGAAAAGGCAAAGAAGAGTGACAGGGGAAAGATTCCAGGGACAAATGGGAACAGGAAAAGAGGGGCTTGAGAGTCAGGGTGTGGCCCAACTCTGAGAAAAGGACCCTCTTGGGAGACCAGAAACTCCATCATAGGATACATATTTTGTTTATTAGATACCCTATTTATGAAACATATGATATCATTTTTTAAACATTTTTTAGAAGAAATAGATGTAAATCTCTAAGTTAGCTTTTGTTAATCTAAATATATCTTTATAAATTTAAATTTCTATTATCATATAGAGTGTACTATAAACCAGTGTTGAATCAAATATAGCTTTTACATCTCTATCATTATACAAAAAATCCTTATGAATCCCAAATATTTGATGCTTGTTGCTTCCTTACTCTAGAAGGAGATAAAATGAAGAGAAGTCATTAGGGCTAAATATATTTTTAACCTTAGTAAACCTTAGTAAAAGATGGCTTCCAGCCACATGGCCATCTGCATCATGATGAAGTCACCAGCCAAGATGGAGGAGAGCCATGTGGTTGCTGCTCAAAACATGTTTTTTGTTTT